TCATTTTCTCAGCTTTCTCATTTTCTCAGCTTTCCGACTATCTTTTCTTATTGGTATTTTAGGATTTATCCCTTGTTTGTATCTTATGATTTATGATTGTGTCTTACAATTTATGTGAGACACATAACTTTGACTTATCATTATTCTGTTTGTGTGTGCACTGAGAGATTATGTCCTGGAGACAAATTCCTTGTTTGGCCAATCACACTTGGCTATAAAGAATATTCCATTCCATTTCCATATTCCATTCAAGGAATAAATATTGTTATAAGAATTATCTTTCCCTTAATATATTTGTATATGCCCTTTATATCAGTATTTGTTTGTTTATTTAAAACAACAACCAGATCCTGTCTTAATTGATGCGGCCCTGAGTGTTGTGAGCATCCAGTGGAACCACTGTGGCAACATGCTGGCTATTGCAGGCATCCAGAAGATACCTGTGCAAGATAAAGATATCAATGTTATGCAGTTCTATTCTCCATTTGGTGAGGTAAAAAATATGGATGTTGTGGATTTTCCTATTTCTATATTCAGTGTAAAATAAAAAGAACTAAATATTGATAGCTGAAAAACCAAAATATTCAAACCATTTTGAACTTATGAGAAGTGAATAGAATCAGTAAAGGCCGAGAAATATTCCTTAAACTTGCACACTACCAATTTTCCTCTGTAACATCTGGGATAACCAGTCCAAAAGTCTTATAGACTGCCTTTTGTAACTTGTGTACACAAAATGTGGATGAAAAAAAACCCTCCTTTTAATATGCAAGTGATAACTGATGTTCAACACGTTTGGCAGAAAAACAAATAGGACAGTGTTTCCAAAAGTCAAAAAATTGAAATCTTATACTGAAAAGTGTGCTGTGAAGATTAGCAGTATTGTAAAGTTGAAGTGGGGGCTACTCTAAATCTTTCTACCAGCTTATATAACATACAGTACTTATCCTTATAGGTGGAATGAATGAATCACATAAAGACTTTGATTTATAATTCAGTTATAGTGATTGTGAAAATATTGTGAATGACTTATATCCTCTAACATTAGCATTTGTAATGTTTTATTTAAAATAGTTACAGTTGTTTTTCTATGGTGTGCTTATCTAATTCTAATGTAAATATGATTTTCTCAAAACATTTTCACATGATTGAGGTGATATTTTTGTCATCTGGGTTTCTTTGCATTTATTCAAACCTGTTAATATCTGGGGTTTTTTTTGTAATTAATATTCAAAACAGTAAGGTTTACATTGGAAGTAATCAACTTTCAAGCAATTTATTCACATAAATATGGAACATTATTAGAAGATACAGTTTTAAAATTTAAGACTCAAGATAAATATTTCTCAAGATTTTTCTTTGCTCATTTAACCTCTTTCAGTAACTTCCAAGAAAATACTCAATATGCTACTTATTTATCTCTATTTTCAAAATACTTCTAATAGTATGCAGCTAATTTATGGTTGATGTCATTTCAGCATTTGCGTACCTTAAAGATTCCAGGGAAACAAGTATCGGCTTTATCTTGGGAAGGAGGTGGTTTAAAAATAGCATTAGCTATTGATCACTGTATTTATTTTGCAAATATTCGCCCAGACTACAAGGTAAGGAACATGTTAAAATACTATCAGACCCTGAACAGGTTCTAATTGAGAACCTACTTGCTACTGTACTGCTCAATATGTTTTTGGGTGGGCTTAAGGCGGCGGTGGTGAGACCCCTCCTGAAGAAACCATCTCTGGATCCAGCCGTTTTAAACAACTATCGTCCAGTCT